AAGAACCATTTTATCGGTGTGCTACCCCAAAAAAGTATGATACATTCTTGATCTAGAATCATGGACATTTAATTCACACTGATTTGTACAAATCCTTTGAACACCCTCTTACTATATGTTAAGACTAAGGCTTAAGGATGCTTGGTTAAAATCAGGTTGCATGGTTCCTTTCACCAGCCTAATTTAATCCTTGCCATTTACTAGACACATGCAAAAAACTTTATAGGTCTACTAATATGACTTCCACTGCAACTTGAAAAAAGATAATATTGGATGGTTTTTTTTTTGTTTTTTTTCAGTTATAGGGTGAGAGATTAAGGGCATGCCATTTTGCCCTGTATGCAAATAAATTTGTCATACAATGCTTGCCAACAAACATCCCAATTCATTAAAATTACATGGTCTATTCCTAGATCACTGTGGAAATGTACTGTTAGAAACTTACAAAATCCAAGTTCAAATAAGGGTAATTAAGCATAGTCTTCATAGCTGAAGCTGTAAATAATCCATTATGGGGACATTTGGAAATAAATTATGTTTTCAAATGTGAGAATTATAGAAACAGTTAACACATGGTACAAGTGGAGACAGAGGTTCAAATTAAACTAAAGGACACATTTTGGATATTTCAAACGTCTGTGTGTGTATGTGTATGTGTGTGTGTGTGTGTGTGTGTATGCCATAATTGGTGAGATTTTTTTTTTCTAATGCCTGACAGCATTGGATGGTCCTAATCAGATGAAGGAAGTATCTATTTGTTCTAGGACCTGCTGATCTTATCCCCCCAACAATATGGGTGGCAAAAGGAAGGATCGAATTTCTACAATGATGGCTAAAAATAGTAATAATAAAGAGATTTTTAGTAAACATAACTGAAGCTACCATATATCCAGAGTTTGCGGATACTTTATTTTTCTTAGCCAATATTCATCCATGAGGGAATTAAAAATATATTGAAATGTCTGAGGCTGAATATACAGTATGCCTGCAAGAGAAAAACAGTGATACCTAGCTATAGTTTCTAGCTATAGTTTCTGGGAAAGTGTATCATCACTTTTGCTTCTGATTGGTGCATAAAGGGAGGAGGGAGTGGCTAGCAATTATATAAACAGAGATACAGTATTGCTACTCATGAGGCATCAGCAAATGCTACCCATTGCTTTGGCTGTTTTGTTTGTGTTTGCTTTCTTTTGAGAGAGATTTTTTCTTCAGGGGAAAAAAATCATTTAAATTGTTAAATGGCACGGTATTGATTCACACTGCAAATGCTGGTATAATAGCAAAGACTGATAATTTCATGCAGGAAAGTATGATTTCAGTAGCTTATGATTTTCCACAACAAACATTAGGTGGTGAAACTTGTACTTGTATGTACAAACAGAGATTTCAGTGGTGAAAATGTTTGATTTTGAAACTCTGGTTCAGACTCAATAATCTCTGGACAACTGGTTTAATGAGACTTTTGCATTTTTACTGTCAAAGAGGAGCAAAACTAATTGTAGGCTTTTGTGTTACTCATCGTTCTGTAAGCCGCCATCTTACACACACACACACACACACACACACACACACATATATCAGAGGAGGTATTTAGCAGGTTCTGACCAGTTCTGGAGAACCGGTAGCAGAAATTTTGAGTAGTTCAGAGAACTGGCAAATCCCATCTCTGACTGGAGATTTTACAGTATCCTTCCCCTGCCACGCCCACCAAGCCACGCCCATAGAACCAGTAGTAAAAAAAATTGAATCCCAACACTGATACATATATATAAAAATAATAGGAAACAAATAATCAGAAAACAAATAATAGGAATATATATGTGTGTGTGTGTGTATATATATATAAAATTCAGCTTTGTTCGGGTATTTTCCCATGTCATTATAGTTGTGCTTTTAAAGTTGTAGCAACATTTCAGCAGAATCTCATCTGCCATCATCAGGCGTCACAGACGAACACACATCATCATCATCAGCCGTCACAGTATACACAGTATACACTATACAGAAGCCTGATGAAGCCGAAACGTTGCTACAACTTTAAAAACACAACTGTAATGATGTGGGAAAATACCCAAACAAAGCTGAATACCATACGTATAAATACCCGCGAAAACTTAAGAAAACACACACACACACACACACACACACACACATATACCCTATTATTTTATTTTAAAAATACAAATATGAAACAATATAGAAAAAGTTAGAAAACTACTGTGTTGAAAACAATAAAAAGTGAAGAGGAGGAAGAAGAAAAAATAGTTAAAGAAGTGGCTTCTACTCTTCTTTACAACACAGATATATTTGAGAGTATTTCCCCCCCCATTCTAAATTAAATAACATGTTTCCTTTTTCCCCACACTTGACCTCTATTAATAATTCCAGAAATCACCAGCTAATGTTTTATCCATTTTCCGCAAAAAGTCCTTGAAGAGTTTTGAGTTAAATTACTCTCTTTTCTAAGTAGCTGTTTTTCAAAAAAATAATATATTGTAATCCTAGCTTTAATTAACTTCAACTTCTTTGTGGTCAGGTTGTTTGAAGTCCAACTGAAAGTTAATTATGGATAGGACATCTGCTTAACAGAGTTCTAAATATATATGCATGTGCAAGTGAGAAAACAAATTAATACATTGGGTCAATGGGTGTCAAAGAAGACAATGTTCAGAATACACACTCATTACCCTAAGAAAATAGAACTTAAATTGTAAGTCAAGAATAAAAATATTTATAGATTGTTTCCATATACTAACATGCACCTATTGCTAAATTTCTATGAGCTTGATTAGAATCAATGAGAATGTTTTACAGTAAAGCAAGCAATGTTCTGAATATCCAGTGGCTAATTCAGGCCATCTCTGGAAATAACCTGTATGCCTTTTAAAAAAAAGTAAAATTAGTCCATTTGGTTTAAAATTCAGAAACTTTATCCAAGTTTTAAGCTGACCCACAAGTGCTTTGCACTAATGGGGGACTACAGTAGTTGAACCCCCTTTTTACACTTCACCTGTCCATGTGTTCCATTCCATCTCTTAAAGACTTGGCCACTTTGGAGAGTAAACTCTGAATCCTGTTTTATCTGTGACAGCAGTTGGGTGACTTAATGTGATGCAAAATCTGAAACCATAGAGAATGCAACATGGCATTCAAGGGCATCACAGAAGCAACAAAGTTTAGTGTTATATGCATGCAAAATGCTCTTTTTAGAATTATTTTTCCAGAGTTCTCTGTACACAGCCAAGAGGGGAAAAAACAGCAGAAGAAGAACTGAGAAAGAGTGAAGCAGAAATGAATGAGATTAGTGTTATGTCTCTCATTTCAAGTTGTTATTATTTGTTTGTCTTATTTATACCCCACCTTTATTATTTTATAAATAACTCAAGGTGGCAAACATATCCAACACATCTTCCTCCCCTTATTTTCCCACACTACAACAACCTTGTGAAGTGAGTTGGGCTCAGAGGGAGAGATAGTGACTGGCCCAAAGTCACCCAGATGACTTACATGCCTAAGGCAGGACTTGAACTCATGGCCTCCTGCTTTCTAACTTGATACCTTCACCACTAGACCAGTCTGATTTTCTCTTTGGTTAGTATGCTATGCAATACGTGGCGGGGGCGTTGTATTAAGGTATCCACCCACATTTTGGGAATCGTGTTATGGCATTAGTATGTCATGATAAGGACCATCCCAACAAAAGAAGCGCAATAATAATAAGACTGATCCCAAACATAGAAGATGGCAGCCATTCTCATGTCTTCATTACTTAAGTACTACTGCATTTTCCCCAGCCAGAAACTCTGAGGAACCAGGGTAATTTTTGTAAAGCTACATTGCCTCCACTTTTCCCCCCAGGATGAGATTTATTCTCTCCACAGCAAAACCAGAGATCCTTCTAGGTTTTAACATCCAGATGAGATTATGATGGACGACATGAAAAAAATGAGTTTTCTCACATTTAGGGTCAACTAGAAGACCCTTATAAACTTTTTTGCATAAAACAGAAAAAAGGGCATTTGTGCTTTTAATGATTAGAAAAAATGTATTAGATAACAGAAAAAAGTGGGGGTTTTGGGTAATCATAGAGTAAGAGATAATTCTAGAACTTTCTTTGGGTTCTGTTTACCCAGTTGAATTTTATCACTATGGGAGAGAGAACTATCAGCTAAAACCACTAATTCTAGGAAAAAAGATTAACTAGAACTGAGCTTTCAGTGAAATTTTGGAGTAAGAGAAGAAGTTAAAAGGAACTATAGCTGAGTAAGTAAATTCTAAATATAAAGAATTGTATCAAGAATGATGGCTAATAGGTTGAGGGCTTCAAATTTGGACAAGTACAATACAAAATCACATACATTGAAATTCATATGTTGGGTCAAAGCATCCCAAATCAAATCTGAATCATCCTCATCATGAAAGTCCAGTGATTCATCAAATTCATGAAACATGGAGCAACATTCAGTAAATGCCTGAAAAGTACATTTATCCTGGCTCTTCATGTAAAGAAAACTGGAGAGGCAGAAATGAAGTTGTTTGACTTTTACAGGCACTTAATAATTGTAATAGATTCTCCACACAAAGCATATGAGGGGAGGTGGGTGGCAGAGAATGAGGTTGACAAAATATATTTTGCAGGATTATTTTAAAATCCAATTTTCCACCAGTTCTTACTTTAGGAACAGGAACAGCAAGAGTTTTGATTTGATGGGATTTGTAAGGATTCAGAATCAGGTACTTACTTTAAAATGTTAGGTGTTAAAATATTTTCAATTCTGGGAATAATCCCTTGAAGCTAATTGAACAGAAAAAAAAAACCATGAAAAATCCTTTACTCTTTAGTTTTTGTCCTTCTGAAATGGGCAGATGTCTTGCTTATGATGCCATCAGACTTCAGACTATCTCAATAAAAAATGCAGGGTT